AGTTGCGAGGCGGGTAGGTCGGGGGCTGCGGATGGGGCCGGGTGGCTGTGGGGGGGGGGGGAGCGCCAGGGGACAATGCGGAGCAGGGCTGGTGGCAGCCCCTGCATGGGGTGATTTGCTGCTGGCTCTGGGGGGATGCTCATAGTTCCTCTGTCCCCACAGATGATGCAGCCGCCCACGTGCTGAGGAGTGTGGGGCAGAGCCCAGCCATGAGGGGCAGCAGCCCCTTCACTTTCATCAGCCTACTCCTGCCCCTCCTGGTGCCACAGGGGCTGTGACCTCCTCACCATGCCCAGACGGAGCCAGCTGGGATGTTCAGCACCCCCGTGGTCCTCATGGGATCGCCAGCCCCTGCACACATCTGGACGAGAAAAGGATTTGTCAGTATTACAGGGCTGGAGGGCCTGAAGCAGAGCTGAGCAGTCACAGCCCTCGGGTGCCCAGTCACCCTCTGCCTGTGCAGACAGGATCCTGGGAGCTGGAACAGGAGCCAGGGCTGGAGGGGCTGCATCCCTGGACTGGAGGGGAGTGTGGGGCTGGCACCCTTGCCCTGGTCCTGAGCTTGCCCATGGATGCTCTGCAGGGTTTGTGCTGCTGTGGCCTCAGACTGTGATGTGTCCTGCAGGCAGGGACACAGTGCTGGTTTGGTGGCCAGCTGGATGCCACCAGCAGCACCTTGGGACCCGGGTCCCTTATTGTCACGGACTCTGGGAGCCTGGACACGCTCCAGATGCCTGGCAGCCAGCGGAGCGGGGCTCTAGAGACCCACTCCTCCATCCTTGACCCCATTGCACATGGTGGCAGGGACAGCTGCCCCCACCCTGAACCTTTGCCCCTTTGCCTGGTGCTGGAGGGGCACCCCCTCAGCAGCCCCCTTTGGGGGGCACTTGGCTTGTCCCCCTTTGTACAGCTTTCTAACATGGGAGTTTTTATACAATTGTGTTGAATAAATAACCAAAACCACACTGAGCACCTGGGGTGGGGGGGGAATGAGGGGCCCATCAGCACCCACACACTGGGGCTGGGATCTCTCAGTCCTGCCTGGCCTTGGAATGGGCTGGCCTGTGCAGGAATGGCCCATGCCAGGCATTTGTGCTGGTTAATTAATTAATTGGCTGGTGTTTGCATAGGGCTTTGAAGTGGAAAAGTGCCACAGCAGGGCTGGTGCTATCAGTTGTTATCTGGTGACACAAAGCCTTCCCAGGGCCTAGGAGGTGAGGTTTTTTTTCCCCCCTCCCCCCAGCACTGGCATGAGCTCCAGGCCTGGGACAGTGTTCCTGATAGGGCAGACCTAGTGGATGATGAGGGGGAGGCTGAGTTGTGACCAGAGCCCCCGGGGCAGGTTAGAGGAGGAGATGTGACCCAGAACATCAGAGGGTCCATGGAGACATGTGGCCCTGAGTATGGGGAATTTGGGGATATGGAGATGTGGGATCACAGGGTTGTGAGGTCACTGGGGTGCAGGATCCTTTGGAGCTGAGATCACAGGGAATTGGGATCACAGGCATGTGGGATCTGGGGTGTGAGGAGACCCTTGGGGTGCAGGGTCCTGGGAAGGCAGAATCTCGGGGCATTGGGATCTTGAGGCCCTGAGGTGTGAGACGCTGGGCTGCAGAGTCCTGCGAAGGTGGGATCTGAGGCAGCTGGGATCACCAGGATGTGTGACCCCCGAGGTGTGAGACCCTGGGGCTGCAGGGTCCTGGGGAGGTGGGATTGCGGGGACGGGGGCCCCCGGAATTTGGAGCCGCAGGGCTGTGGGACCCCGGAGTTGCATGGCCATGGGGAGGTTAGTTCCCTGCACTTGGGGGGCACGCAGGACACCGGGGGGGG